CGCTTTGAGCAAGCGTAGTGATCAATGCTCAAACCTTGTTCGTGTGAGATTAGTCCTTTGCTCAGCAGTGGGCACTTATATGCTCTTGATGATGACCAAAATGTAGTGTCAGGTACATTAACTAGTACCTTTATTCGACCTCTTCAGGAAATAAACGCATAAAAGATATAATGTGCATAACAAATGAATCTGAACATAACCGATGTTGCAACGAACGAATCCCGCAGCAGAATCAGATAACTGACAAATCAATAGATCAATTACGATTGGTCAGTTCGAATGTTCCATATTCAAATCGTTGTAGCGCATTGGTCCGTTTAAATTTAGAATTTATTTGGATTGAGTTTTGCAACGGTTGCATTTTGCTGTCCGCTCGCGATTCCTGATTTAAACGATATGAAATTGGATTACCTACTTACATCTTTGTTTTTGTATATGGACTATTTCGAGTTTTCGACTAAGTTCTAGTGAGGTAACAAGTAATCACACTAATCACTACATAGTATAAAACAAAGTCGCTACCCGCCGTCTGTCTGTACCTATGTATGCTTAGATCTTTAAAACTACGCAACGGATTTTGATGCAGTATTTTTAATAGATACATATAGTGATTCTTAACTCGTCGAGTACCGTCATTATAGACACAATTATAGAACAATAGGTTGCGGTCACCGGTGACCGCTTGGGTTTGACAGTTTAACTCGTCGAGTACCGGTTTTGTAGACACAATTATAGAACAATAGGTTGCGGTCACCGGTGACCGCTTGGTGTTTGACAGTTTAACTCGTCGAGTACCGGTTTTGTAGACACAATTATAGAACAATAGGTTGCGGTCACCGGTGACCGCTTGGTGTTTGACAGTTTAACTCGTCGAGTACCGGTTTTGTAGACACAATTATAGAACAATAGGTTGCGGTCACCGGTGACCGCTTGGTGTTTGACAGTTTAACTCGTCGAGTACCGGTTTTGTAGACACAATTATAGAACAATAGGTTGCGGTCACCGGTGACCGCTTGGTGTTTGACAGTTTAACTCGTCGAGTACCGGTTTTGTAGACACAATTATAGAACAATAGGTTGCGGTCACCGGTGACCGCTTGGTGTTTGACAGTTTAACTCGTCGAGTACCGGTTTTGTAGACACAATTATAGAACAATAGGTTGCGGTCACCGGTGACCGCTTGGTGTTTGACAGTTTAACTCGTCGAGTACCGGTTTTGTAGACACAATTAAAGAACAATAGGTTGCGGTCACCGGTGACCGCTTGGTGTTTGACAGTTTAACTCGTCGAGTACCGGTTTTGTAGACACAATTATAGAACAATAAGTTGCGGTCACCGGTGACCGCTTGGTATTTGACAGTTTAAGGTTTATATGTACAACACATGCATATTGTAACCGTGCGAAGCCGGGGCGAGTCGCTAGTATATTATAAATGTGAAAGTTTCTTTGCTTGGATGTTTGTCCGTCAATCACGCTGAAACTACTAAACGGATTTTGATGACATTTGATATACAGGCAGGGTATGGGCTGACTTAGGTGGTAGGATACTTTTATCCCGATTAAATGCTCTTATGGGATAAAACAGGAACACGCGGGCAAAGCCGCGGGTAAAAGGTAGTAGTTGTGGTTCTTTCCTCAAAAGACCACTACAGAAAGAACTTGCACGGTTCTCACACATAATCTTTTATACACATTTGTCTGAACTTTAAAAGAGACAGACCTCTGAGTTTGTTTCGGCATTTCTTCTCAGAGTAGTCAGTTAGGAAATGTCGGCCTCATCGTTCGCTTGATAAAATTGACGTATAAAAGTGCTGCCTTGTAGCCTATTTGCAGAAATAAATTCACTTGTTTCACTTGTTTCACTAGTTACATGAAAATATTTTTATGTCAACCGGTTTCAATGATTCTATTCTAGCAATCAAGCCTTTACGTTTCATATCTATAATGGAGGTAATTGTTGAAAATTAGATAATATTGTATGGTCATCAAGGTTAAGAGTGTGTACCAAATATCAGATCGATTTGTCGTCAGGACGGGGGTGGAATTCCTATTACTAGAGACCCAAATAAACAAACAGGACAAGCTAAATAAAACCGTTTCAAAACACATTTCTTTTTTTTTTAACATTGTCCCACACTACAATTTTCTCCTGTGTCGTTGGTGCGTTTACAAACATACAAGTTCACATACACATCACACCCAGACCCGAAACAACAATCATCACACAAAGTGTTGTTCCGTGCGGGAATCGAACCCGAGGCACGTTGCACGGCAGCTAGCCGGTTGCCCAGCCACCGCGCCAACCGTGCAATCCACTTGTAACAACAAGTTTTCATATTTATGTTTAAAATCTATTATCGGCGCATACGCATTGAATCCGCAATAATAGCCGATTAGGACACGCCCATTGACCATCTATTGCTCGTTATAAGACACAAGTTGACCCTAAGTACAACCTTCACTTAGTTACATCAATAACATCATGTGCTTTGTTATTGAAGGGGTAAGCAGATTTATGTGTATTGTATGTAGTTACTATCACTATCGTTTTAGGGCGAAGGTTTTGTCAAACATAGGACATCATCCGTACTTTGTAGTAATGATGATGTAATACTGATGATTTAAAAAAAATCTTATTGTTTTCATCAATCTCAAAGTATATATTAACGATAGTAGGCGTGCTCCATAGTCGGCCACATCATCGCTTACCACCAGGCGAGATAGTGGCCAAATTTCGACCTATCAAATATAAACGAGTAGACGAATCACCTGGTGGTAAGCAAACGACGCCGCACAAGGACACTTGAAACACCAGAGACGTTACAAGTGCATTACCGGCCTTCTGGGGATTACGAATTTGAGGATTGTTGGGGATTTAGTAAGATTGTGGAGGGAGGAAGGATAATTGGGTATCTGGTAACCTCACTTACAAAACCTAACCTTGTATGTGACAAGCGTTGTATCACGTCGTTGGTCACTCCGGTCGAGCCGACCCATTCGTGCCGAAGCATGGCTCTCACACGCTTGCATTCATATTATTATAATACCTTGTTTTTTTTATAGCATAAGCCGGTAAACGTGCAGACATACTTTATTAATATCTTTAAACTGTTAATGTCTAATTGTGGCGTGTTCGTCTGTGAGTCACTTAAGGGGCCAGTAGAATACCAGCGCAAGGCCCTGTCTTGCACATGCTGAACTGGTCCCGTTTTACGGCAGACTTGGAAGACATGAACATGTATCCATCAGTTCCTACTAATAGAATAACACATATGTACATGTCATTCTTTTTATGGGATAAACCCGCCACAACCTTCCAAAACTGCAACTCCAGTAAGCTAGGATCTACAGTTCATACAACCACGAAAGCACCGGAACACTGAAGTCCGGCGCGTCCCAGGGACATGAGTCTTGTCTTGGTTCCCGCAACAAGTGAATCAGAAGATATTATAAGAGAACAAGAAAAAAAACTATAGTTTCCACTTCCCTCGGTGAATTACTGCAGCAGACAGAATGAATTAAGCCTGAAGCCACAAAAAGAGACTGTACAACTGGGTGAAGCTCAGTCGCCATGCACCACGGAAATTTGACTAAATTGTAAGTGAGTCCTATGTGTTAGCTGTCGTACTGGCTTCCAATAATAGGTATGGCAAAAGAGCCTAAACGCACGGAAATTTGTTCCAGATTCCACAAGGTCCGTATAATAAGCTGCACCTGACGAAACAATTAAATTATTTAACATAGTGTTACGTTCATACTGCCAGAGATCACACTCCCAGAGTATGTGATGGGCGGACTGCTTGTATTGCAAATTCTGTACATATCACTTATATTTGTCGTGAAACAAAGTCATTTTCTTTCTTCTTCTTTCTTTCTTATTCTAAACAAAAACATATACTTGTCTACCTCTCCCCCTCCCGAAATAACTACAAGACACGAAGATATGTCCTCAGATAATTGCCACACGTCAATCTTATTGATAAAGGTCAATGGATGTGCGTTGGTACATCATGATGATGGTTACTTAGACAGGGTTAAAACCTGTGCCCATTTGAAGAAAACCTGTTAGATAGGTTAAATGTTTCCTATAAAATGAAGATGGCCTGGAGGTTTAAGACACTCGTTTCTTATGCATGAGAGTGTGGGTTCAAAACCTACTAACAGTAAGCAAGTAGCATAACA